TTTAGGATTGGTAGAAGGCAAGTCGTACCTCATCATGGGCAGATCCGTTTACCTGAGAGAGCTCGGGGGAAGGTAGGTGTTAGTACTTCCTACAGGATTGTGCTTTTGCATAAAAGGACCCCCAACCCAGTAAATGTAGTGTGTGAACTTATCCAGAGCTCTGTCTGAACACACTCATTTTTCTCATATAGTGCTGCCAGATTGGGCAATTGGGCTTCTTTTAATCAGGCTAAATTGGAGAAAAATGCATTGGGCGGGTGGACAACATTTGGGCTGCTTTTTTTAAATAAATGGCAGGTTTTTTATTTGCTTTTTTGTTTGCACGTGATATTTCCGTCCATGAAATCTGCAACTTTTTCCTCGACAGCTTCTGAAAGAGGTTTGAATAAAAAAAATTATCAAACAGTTTTGACTGCAAGTTCTGCTTTATGTTCCACAATGCATACTGTAGTTCTGTTTGACGTTAAGGTAAGCACATTATTAAGGCCCATATATATTTATATATATTTTTTTGTGACTAGTGTACAGTGTGTAATGAATGACTCATTATCGGCTGTCATGGTGTGTGCAAGATGAATGTGTCAGTATCAACCAAAAACGTTGATCACTTAAACTGGGCTTTTTGTCTGCAACTTGAATTGGCTTGTTTTTGCTGTTGACATTGAAAATGATGCATGCGTTTTTCCAAAGGGTTGAAGTCTGACAGTTTCTTGACTGCAGTTTCCAGATATTTGACATACTTTAGTTTATGCATGTTTTGATTTTTTTCATCATATTTGCTAATTGCTAATCTGCTAATTCTCTTTTACTATATTTGCCATGCTTGATCCGTTTCCTTCTTGCATTGTTCTCCAGGCTAGGATATTTATTCTTTTCTTTTTTTTTATCAATATTTAGGTGAGGTGAAAATGGTCCTTATGAACCTTGGTTGGCATGGCAATAAAATTATATCACATTCTTTTGGCAATGAATTTTGGGCCCAATTTTGGAGAGCTTTTTTGGAAGGATGGAAATCCTCTGCCCAATCTGTCATCACTGTCCTCATATAGCGTGATATTCACAAATAATTGCTGTGTGAGTCATTTCTCAGACTGACGAAAACCAAATCAATCTTGGGTAAAACATCAGCTCAATGTCTGTTAGTGTGAAGTTTGTTTTTAATGCATATATGAATGAAAAATCTATTCATAGGTTTGCACAGTGTGTTTTCTGTTGTTTTAGTCTGCAGTATGTTTTTGGAGAACAGACCTGGGTTGAATACTGGCCTACAAGAGAGGAAAGCCAAGCTCCAGAACACAGGGAGCGATACATCGGCATCACTGAGCTCAAGAATAGCCTTCTCAATTATGGATGTGCTAATTAAATATACAGCAGTCAACATTTAAGTGGATCAAAAATTTCATCAAAGTTGTTCTAAGACAAGAACAGGTATTGTTGACTACTGTAGTATAACAACTATTTCTTTACTACAGGAAATGTAACATTATCTTTCGCATACTCTAAATAAATTGTTCTTGATGATGATAATGCTTTTCACCCAAATATGCTGGTGTAATTCCATAATAAAACTTGAACTTGTTCATGCACGATTAATCATGACTTGTTTAATCATGTAGTTCATGGATTCCTATTTTAAAATCTTGTTTTCTGAATCAAGTCTTCTCCAGGAGTTTGATTGACAGGCTATCTGACCAATCATAAAGCCGAATCTGCCATTTTGTCTGACAAACAAACCAGACAGGAGAGTTAGTCGATTAATGTCAATAGAGCTGAACTTGAAAATGGGGTATTGACGTCTTTGCGCAGTTGGGACAACATACTTTCTGATGTTAATTCACGCTTGAACTAAGGCATTTGTGAATGTTGCTGCTATCATAGCGGGAACCCGACACATATCACTGAGAGCTGTTATCAGTTGTTTTTGGTTCACCTACAGCAGATGGAGGGTTTGGGCCCTGGCGTTGTGGCAGCGGCTG